GCATTATGCGGCGATAAGACACGATGCAGTCGGACTTGAATTAAATTCTCGAACAGGTTTAATTCTTTATGATTTTAGCCAATTTGTAACGCGTTACACGATCACAGCGTTACTTGAGAGCGACGGACAGGTTTCCCAAAATTTTCTTTTACAGCGGTCTTCGTATAGTTGAGAATGGCCGGTTGCAATTTGGAATATGATTATATTATTTTTCTTTTGCAGAACGAGCAGGTAAGTCTCTTTCTTGGAGGTTACAGGTGGACACCTGGTCGTGATGGGTGAGCAGAGCAGGTAAGTATTGTTTCAGGACTCGAAGGTGTCTTCGGAATGGATGATCGGAGCAGGTAAGTATTCTTTCAGGACGCGAAGTTGTCTTCGTAACGAATAACGTTTATACACACTATGTAAGTATATACTATTCACTATTCACTTATAATTCACTTTTATTTTATTTTTTAAATTCGGATGAGTCTGTATTAGAGCGGTTTACTGGGCACTGGAATATTCGGATCCCACCGCTGCCACCAAAATGTTATACAGGATAGCCAAAAAGGCTTTTTAAAAAAACAAATATCTCACTCGCGACGGTTTATCTATGAATATATGCGAGGATTAAGGGATCCTAGACAACCGCTCCGGATGGGTATTGAAATCAGACTGATTTAATTATTGAGTGCTACTAATGAAGCTCTGAGAAGAGACTGCTGACAATGCTTAGCAGTTGCTATAAGCCTAACTACAGAAGGGTATAACAGAACGTTTCGGTTATTCCGGCATCGAAAAAGTGCGTTTCCGATTACAGTGCGAGTGATAAATACAAACTATATGCAGCTAACGGAACCGAGATAAAAACTTATGGTATGCGTACTTTAATTTTAGATTTTAATTTAAGGAGAGCATTTAAATGGAATTTTATCGTAGCGAATGTTAAACAGCCGATAATAGGAGCGGATTTCTTAAGCCATTATCAGCTGTTAGTCGACATGAGCGCACGCAAGTTAGTAGATCAAATTACACATTTAAATGTTCTCGCCTCTGTTGTAAATCATAACGAATGTGAATTATCTATTAAAACTGTTTTAGGTAATAGTAATTGGCATGATTTATTGCTTTGTTACCCGGACATAACGAAATTAGTATCTTACAAAGAGACACCTAAACACTCTGTGTGTCATTATATAGAAACTACGGGCCCACCGGTATACGCTAAAGCCAGACCTCTTCCGCCTGACCGTTATAGAAAAGTTAAGGAGGAGTTTAGCCACATGTTGGAATTAGGCATTTGTAGGCCATCTAAAAGCGAATGGGCCAGTCCATTACATGTGGTACCAAAGAAGAATGGTGATATTCGGCCTTGCGGTGATTACAGAAAATTAAATGCCATAACAAAACCGGATCGCTATCCGATTCCGAGACTGCATGATTTTAAATATTTATTAGCGGGAAATAAAACTATTTTTACGCGGTTAGATTTAATTCGTTCTTATCATTTCGTACCGGTTGCCCCGGAGGATATTGAAAAAACTGCCATTATAACGCCCTTTGGACTGTTTGAATTTCCGCGCATGATCTTCGGATTACGTAACGCAGCTCAAACATTCCAGCGTTTCATGGATACTGTAGTACTACAAGGGTTAGACTTTTTATTCAGTTATATCGATGATCTTATTATCGCGAGTGAAAATGAAAGTCAACACAAAGAGCATTTAAAGGCAGTTTTCGAAAGATTGGATAAATATGGAATAACTATTAATCTATCTAAATGTGTTTTTGGTCAGTCAACACTTGAGTTTTTAGGATTTGAAGTGTCCACGGAGGGTGCGCGACCACTTCAAGATAAAGTACAGGCTATTGTAAATTTCCCGAAACCCGAGACAGTCGATCAACTACGCCGTTTTCTCGGTATGTTAAATTTTTATCGTGCACACATTCCAAACGCTGTTCAATATCAATTCGAATTGAATAAATATTTGCACAATACAAAGAAACGCGATAAAACTTTGATTGTGTGGACTGATAAGGCTGTCGAAGCATTTAAGAAGTGTAAGGAAAGCTTGCAAAGCGCCGCTACACTGTCTTATCCTTTACCAGATGCTAATTTAGCGCTGATGACCGATGCCTCGGATACTAGTGTAGGTGCTGTATCACAACAGAAAAATAACAACAATTGGCAACCATTAGGGTATTTTTCAAAAAAACTTTCACAAGCTGAAACGAAATATTCTACTTATGATAGGGAATTGTTAGCAGTATTTATGGCTATCAAATATTTTAAAAATTTAGTGGAAGGCCGTGTACTGACTATTTATACTGACCATAAGCCGCTAGTTTTTGCATTTTCAAAATTAAATAACGACAAAGAAAGCCCTAGAAGAATTCGTCAATTATCTTACATTAGCGAGTTTACCACCGATATTCGTCATATCAGCGGTGAGCAAAATGTAGTCGCAGATACACTTTCGCGGATAGAAACGATCAGTTGTCCTACATTACTCGATTTTAGAGAAATAGCTGAGCAACAACTTAGTGACGAATACCTACAGCAAGCGTTGCAAGCAACAGATAGTAAAATACAATTTAAACAAATATTATTGCCAGACTGCGAAAAATATATTTATTGCGAAATTTCATCTAAAAGAATTAGACCATATTTACCAGATAAATTCAGGAAAATTGCTTTTCATTCGGTTCACGATTTAAGTCACCCCGGTGTTAAGACTACCAGAACTTTAATTAAACAACGTTTCTTTTGGCCTAATATGCTTAAGGATATAGCGAGTTGGACTAGAACCTGTTTTAGTTGCCAGAGATCAAAAATTAATAGGCATACGATAGCAGGATTAGGAGAGTTTGAGCATGCAGACCGTTTCCAACATGTTCATATAGATATTGTAGGCCCGTTGCCTACATCGGCAGATGGACATAGATACTGCGTAACAATGATAGATCGTTGTACCGGATGGCCGGAAGCTTTTCCAGTTCACAATATTACAGCTGAAACAGTAGCCAAGGTAGTATTTGAAGGCTGGATATCTCGATTTGGAAGCCCTTCGAAGCTTACTAGCGACCAGGGTAGACAATTTGAGAGTGATCTTTTCAATCAGCTAATGAAGTACCTAGGTATTTTTAAAATGCGAACAACACCTTATCATCCGCAGAGTAACGGCATGGTTGAGCGATGGCATCGGCCACTAAAAGTGTCACTTACGGCACGTTTAAACTGCAATAGTAACTGGGTGACCGAGCTTCCAGTCGTGTTGTTAGGCTTACGAGCCGCAACCCGCAGTGACAGTGGCGTTAGTGCAGCAGAGTTAACTTATGGTAAAACAATTCGTTTGCCAGGTGATTTTTATGAGGATTCCAAATTAAATTGCTCGGATTCGGAATATTTACAAAATCTTCGCGATTCCATTAAAAGTTTGAGACCTAAACCGTCAAGTCATGGTAATTCACGTTCGTTATTTCTGCCTAGCGAATTAAATAGTTGTAAGAGTGTATTCATAAGAAATGACGTATTTCGTAAATCTTTGCAACCTCCTTATGATGGCCCTTACGACGTTGTAAGTCGGAAAGGCAAAACTTTCGATATTAAAATAGGAGATAAGACGAAAACTATTTCAATAGAAAGATTAAAACCAGCATTTTTTATAAATAGTGACAAAGATTTTAGTTATAGTTCGAATTTTAATAAGAGTAACGATTCTAGTTTAGATAACGAGGTCACTTCCAGTAAAGCTCTACAGCCGAGAACTACGCGTAGTGGCCGCGTTATCAATACACCCGTACGTTTTACAACATGACGTAATACATACGTACCTATAGCGTAGCTAGTCGAACGGACAAAGCATAGAGAACAGTATACGAAATACGAAGCAAGCGGAAGTCTTTGTAAATTAAATAATAGGTAGTTCTGTTCTCAAGATTTCAATTTCATCGATATAGCTCTAGAAATAATAACAGTGGGTACTGATTTAAACAAAGAACTTTTGTCAACCAATTTTTGTACTCAGCTTACAAGATCGCCGCGTTCCCACAATTTGTTAATGTAAATATTACTCATTTGTTAATGTAAACAAATCGATACGATACGTGAATAAGTAGCATAGTGAATATTAGGTTTAGTGGTTGTGGAAATTATAGGTTCAATTCCATATTCAACATGTATTTGTAGAGTATAATAAATATAATTTTAGATTGGTTAGGATTTAGATACTATTAAAAAGTAATTTTGTTTAGTAATAAGCTTTTCATAGGAAACATGTAAAGTAATTTAATTTGTTTACTAATAAGTAAGAATTTGTATTCGATAAAAATTAAATGTTTTAATGACATATTATTTTATATTTACTTTAATTACTTGTCATTTATTTAAAAATTGTTTATATTATTTTTATTGTTCTTTATTGTACTGTTCTTTTACATTTCTTACAATATGTGATGTGTACTTTTATTTTTTATTGTAAGAGGGGGAGTACTGTAGGGACACATATGCCTACATGTACATGTACAGTTTAGTTTGTAAGATGTTTATAAACAATTTGTTAGCGTCTGTAGAACAAAGTCTTTTTAACTAGTCGCTAATATACGGAGTTACAGAGTGAACGTGTTTTCTTATTTAACCTTCTGATAACATAAATAGGGTCCGACACTTAATACCCTAAAATCACCATCCTATTTATGTCTACACTGGTACATAGCCTATCTAATGGATGGAATCTGATTGAAAATGGGCTATGTTACATGCCCAGTGCTGATTGTTATGTGTTAAATAACTGCAGATGCAGCCAAGTACAATAGCTCAACATGTCTACGTGGAGGAGGAGGATAGTAAATTTTTGGTAACCCATCCTATGAGTAGTAAAATTTATGCAAATAATTTTCAACCTGTTGATACTGAAGATTCATTTCAAATAAAAAACTCAAAAATACCAAATAGCAGTTAATATGGCACCATATTTATATAAATACAATACCATCAAATAAAAAATAATCAAAAATACCGAATTCCATTTCACGGAGTGCTGTGTCAAGTCGTTTTCTTAAAGTCTCTTCACTCTCAGTGTTTCGATCTCGTAGACGTCTTTCCAGCTCTTCAATTGATGGGGGCATAATAAATACCAATAAAGGATCCAAATCAGTATGCTTAACTTGTTTAACACCTTCTATGTCGATATCGAGAACACAGATCTTCCCTGTACGGCGAACATCATCAACAGCTTTTTTGCTGAAATATATTTAATAAATAATAATGAAAATATAAATCCTTATAAATATTTAACACATAATATAGAGGAAATTTATCGGAGGCATAGAGATGAAAGTGCAAAAAAAATTTGCTCATAAAAATAAACATTTTTTTTTTTTATTTTTAACATACCTTCAAATGCAACTTAGTTGAATTACTGAAAATATAAAGTATTTTTATGGTCAAATGCACAAATGTCTATTAGAGTTCAATGATGACTTTAACTCTAATTAATCTGTACTAATTAAAAAGCTATAAAATTATAAAGCTGAAGGATTTCTTTGTTTGAATGCACTAATTTCAGGAACTACTGGTTCGAATTGAAATATTCTTTTTGTGTTGAATAGACCATTTATCGAGGAAGGCTTTAGGTTTTATAACATCACGCTACAACTATTAGGAGCAAAGAAATAATGGAAACATGGAAGAAGTCGCTGGCGGCCACTAGTGTTCTATATTAGAAAATTTGTATCAGTATTGCTTCTTTGAGGTAATGAAATTTTAATGAACATTTGTACCACTAGCACTTAGCCTCAACAATGCCACATTATCTATTAACTAGAGATGCACCAAATATTTGTTTGGTATTCTGTATCTTTTTAACTATTTCTATATGGTCTAATTCAGTTTGAATATTTCTAATTTTTGGCTACAACATGAATAGAACTAAAAAAAAAACTTCTTATAGAACATTTATGTTACAATATCAGTTGAGCACATAAACAAAATCTCCTTTCCTAAAACTGTCACACTGTTTACTTATTTTTATACACATACTTAAAATTTTTAGTGTTACCAAATATAAAAATATCAATGCATGAAAGAGCACGAAGTGCTTTCATACATAAAACCAACTTCAAACTTTAATAAAGGAATAAATAATTAACAACTTATTATTTCATTAATAACCTACAGTAAACCGAAGCCCAATTTTAATTGCAGTTTCTCAAATAAGTATTATTTATCAATTTTTTAAAGTTAAAAGTTAGTTCCACTTTTTGAAAAAAAACAATCTTTATGTATGTCCCTTGCTCCCACAACCGATTGTTCGCTATATTACAAGAATCATTTAGAAACACTCTGGCTAACTAAATATAATGAAATGGTAAATCATATCATTCAGCCGCTTTTCCGGTTCTGGGTTTTTGGTTTTCAGTATATAGTTATTTGGTGAAACCATTATTTGGTGCATCTCTACTATTAACATAGAAGAATTTCTGATATTAATATATAATTAAAAGATATTCCATAAATATTATGTATCTTGTTGATATTGGGAGCATTATACTTAGAGAAGAGGGTAAACAATGACGAAAGTAAACCTGAGATTTGGCAAAAAGCCAGTTCCTACAAAACAACGAGCACATGGCCATACCAAATTTTCATAAACTAATGGGAAAGTAAATGAACTAAAAAATGCACTATACCTTGTACCATACATATTGCCACTAAAAGTGGCCGATTCAATGAATTCTCCTTTTTCTATGGCAGCGATCATATCACTCTTAGTGGTGAAATGATAATGGATACCATCTTTTTCACCCGGTCGTGGATTTCGCGTGGTGTGCGATACGCTAAATCCAAATTTATCAGGAAACTCTTTTAGGAGACGTTTTAATAAAGTACTTTTACCGGATCCTGAAGGACCACACAGAACCAATGGTCGAGGCCCCTTTTGCACCATGGTCGCAAAAGCTAAGTAAAGAAAATAATTAAATTAATATCTCAATAAGGTTATAGCAGAATTGTCTAAGCAAAAAGCTAGATAATGAAATTTGGGACTTACGTCTTAATATATTCGAGATAATTTTGGATATTTTATTGAATACACTGGTTATAAAAGTATTTATAAGTAATTTTGCGTATCGAATGTAGGAAAATCACAAACATGGATTATCTCTAAAAATCTATCTACAATCACAGACTTGTAAAGAGATACTAGTGATGTATCAACTCAATGTACTAATGCAATAACTCGTGTTGGGCTTAGTTCGAGTTAACTCGAGTTGAATTCTCTCTAACTCGAATTTCAATTAGACATGGGGGTAGGTAATGCGTGTGATGGTACAAAAGTAATAGCCTGATACAAATACGAGAAAAAAGGAAATAATTTCATATAAGCCTGGAATATTTTTAATCAAGTTTGTGAGCCAATTACAAGAGACTATATCTAAGAATCCATCTCATTATAGCTACGGAAGGTATAAAAAAAATATCAAGTCAAAAAACCTTCATTTCCTTCATACAAAATTACTAACACGACATTTTTCACAAATTTTGGTTTTATTTATCATAGTGACAATGAAAATTACTGAAATCCAACTAAAAAATTTACAAGGAATAGTCATTTTTATTATATTTTTTTTAGTAGTTTAATATGGATAAAACTTTTATTTAAAATATTTCTGAGTGGATTTTAATGATCTTTAGTAGAATATGTGTTGAACTCAAAAGTCTGCTGCATATATTTCGTGTTATATTTTGCTTCATAAATAATTTTAAGGCTATTATAAGGGTATGCAATATTCCCATGGAAATTTTCATTGGATTCAAAACAAAATAAACTTAACGCAATATAGTAATATCGATTGAAGGCGTGTTTCATTGTTAATATTATTGATTTTTTTACAAATATTTTTTAAATATTAGTTGTCCGTGTTTTTACAAAAATATGAGTTTACAAATATAATATTAGGAAAATTTATGTATTTCATGGAATTAATATAGGTAAGAGTGCGAAAATACGTACAAGGCACTTTATATTTGTTTTGCTTATCATGCCATTGAGAAATTAAAGGAATTTTATTTATTTTACTAATAATCCGAAAGAAAGTGTCGATGGATTAATTCATATATTAAAAAGGATATATATGATACCCACATAATAAAAAAAACAGTTTAAAAGTAAATTAGTTTTCAAAACTCAATAAACAACTCATAGTCTATTTGTACTTTTTCATATTTGTATTTATATCTAAGTTTCGAAATTATCAAATTTCAGTTAATAGGAATGGAAATGACTGTCTTCGGCCCATTTGTTTCCTGCAAAAATATTTTTTGCTAGAGTCGCCATCTAGTGAGGTGCTTTATAGTGCTTTCTTCTTCTTTTAAAATACTTCCTTATTAAAAATACATAAAGCATCTTTTATTTCTAAATATCATGGGTTTTTCTGTCGGGTTGGGTGCTGTTAATATATAATAATAGATGTTGCTAATATTGAGTGTTCAGGGGTATGTTTGTGTACTATATTACATCTCACGAAGTTGACTAATCTATGTCAAAATTTGCCGTAATCTGAATTTGGTCAGGAGTATGTTCAATGCTATGAGACAGTTATTGAAAAGTTTTTGTTATATTAAAATATTACAAGTATCAAGACGTCTTTATCCTTTTTTCCCAAAGTTGCCTTCTACAAATTAAATTTTCCTGTTTTGCCATTATATTCTGCTACAACTTTAATCTTTAATATAAATATAATATAATTAAGTTTCCAAGTTAATAAAATAAAAAAATTGCGTAAAATGGACGATATGTTATTTATAAATTTTTGAAACTCAATTTATTTTTATTATATTTTACAAAAATACCGAGATGGGGAAGTATTTTAACAACATAACTCTCAAAATCGAACTATTGAACTACAAGTAAAAACAAAGATTTTTGGAGCTATACAAGGCTATTTTCTGTGACACTATTTTTTGTTCAGCGGTTACCAAGTAACAAGTTAGGTTTTGTATTAAATATTCCTAAACGAAAATTGGTGATCGTCTGAATTGCCATAAAAAAATACGAAGTAACCAAACTGCTTTCTCAGCTGTTTCCTGTGAAAAGTGGTATTGATTGTTGAAATACTTTTAAGATACTGAAAATAAGCAAAATACAATAAAAACTTTTGAAAATTACGTAAATAACATAGTTAAATTCATTTTAATTTATTTTGTCTATTATATTTAGATGCAATTTAAGTTTTGAAAAAAACTATTTTAAAAGTATTCAAATAGGAAGTAGTCCAAAAGAGGTAACCAATCCGGCAACAGTTTTATTTCAAAGCTGATCCGTTATTTTTGAAGTCCCAAACAATCCTATCACATTCTGTCGTTCAAGGCAATGTGGTAGAGAAAACTAGAATTAGAAGTGAAGGCGCGTCTGAATGTGTTAGAAAATCTATAATACAATTGAGCGCTCGTTCCCTGATATTATATTATCCACTTTGAAGGACTATCAAATTAACAAATATGGAAATGGTTCGGAGGCAAAGACAGGTAATTTTGTAACAGTTTTGCATATAGATAACACTATTTTGCGCAATTCTTTTTTGATTGTCTCATTATTATTTAGGTACAGCTTCATCAAGACCAAGAGAATATTTATGCTATCAAAGGCAAGGGTTCATTAGCCGTACCGTCCAAACGGCAAGGTCTTACGGTTAGGGGTGCATTGGGTGATTTGAACAGCAATGTTCAAGCCCAGAGAGATATCAATGTCGGCAAAGTCGCTGTTGCTGCTGCGGAATACGAGAAGAAGGCAACTTTAAATCGTGGTGTTTTAAAAAGGTACTTAACTTTTAAGTTATCTACCCCCATTAACATAATAATAATATAATATAGTTTCATAATAACTATTATTAAAACAGAAGAGTTCAGTTATAGCGTATGTATGTTCATTATAATTACTGGTAGCTATACAGAAAAAAAGTTTTACTGGTATTTTTTTTTTCCAGTAATTACAGCCATGTTCAGTCAAAAGTGGATACAGGGCTGTCTGGAAAACCAGTTATTCAACCATCGACAAGGCCTCCACTGAGACGTGAAGAAAGTACTGCAGGGTTGGCAGCTCGTGCTATTGTCCGATCTAAGGTAAAGTATTCCAAATATATAAGAAATTCATAAACAATGGACTTATCACACCTTGTTAATGAAATCTTTATGTTAAACTTTATCTATGGCATTTTATCCAGACCTTATACTTATCTTAGATATGTGTTTTTCTCTTAAATGTAAACATAGATAATGAAATATATATTGAAAAAAAAAAACATGAATGTTTTTGAAATCAACTTAGAAATGATGCTGCAACTAGTTTTACATTTTTCAGATATACTTAATACAATGTTTAAATCGCTAACTTAAACAGGTTTTATTTCTAATTTTAGTTTTTTTTTTTTATGAAAATTACTGCTATCAACTAAGATAGAAAAAGGCACAAGGGTAGATCCATCTTTGATTGAGTCATATGTGTAATGAAGCACCACTATTTTTGTTAGACTAAGATGTCTGTTCATTCTCTATGGATTCTGCAAAACATCTAAAATTCAATTAATGATGTGTGTCACATTATAATTATAAATTAAAAACCTGAAGGGAAATTCTATTTTAATTGTATGAACTGCATAGTTTCTCATGATAATAATAGACTAAGTAGTACACATGCTTGGTGTGTTGTATTATATTGTACTTTTTATTTTTAATTAAACAAAGTAATTGTGATGTTCTCAGGCTGTTCTAAAAGAGCATAAATCAGCAGAATATAAGGAGAATATAAACATAGTAATACAAACTAAAAAATGCTTTCAAGAGATCAAGAAGAGTTCAAAGCTGCCAACTGTAAAAGAAAATAAGGAAAGTAAAATTTTAAAACCTATTCTTAAAGAATCAACAGAATCACTGGGAAAATTGAAATTGGCTGAAACTGCCACCCAATCTCAGCAAGCCACTGGTATTATCGATCATAGTAAACTTGAAAAACAAGCTGCATTATTACAATTAAAAGAAACACCACAACTACCACATGACATTGAGGATATTGATGCAAGAGATACAAACAGCCCTCTGCTTATGTCAATTTACATTAAGGATATTTATCAGTATTTGACGGAACTTGAGATTAAATATGCCATTGAGCCTGACCATTTAAGAAATCAGGTACAAATATTTTCCTTCTATAATATTTTGTTATATGTATAATTGAAGAAGTTTCATGGATGCTGATGCTGGATGCGGGAGGCGCAGGACCGATCACGTTGGGAATCTTTGGGGGAGGCCTATGCCCAGCAGTGGGCATCTCTCTGTTGATATGATGATGAAGTTTCTTCCCTTCCACATTAACCATCAGTTGCAAAACGTCCATTAAGGACTTTAAGCTCTAATGAAAATCAAATTTGTATGGGTAATGTCGCTTTAAACTGATGAAAATTTAAATGGACGTTTGTGCATCTGTCTGTTAAGTGACTAACATTTGCACCCGATTCTTCATATTAAAGTTTATAAAAATAATTCCCATTGTGTGTAAACTGTTGATATGACATTGTTTAATAAAGCTATTGAGCTTCATTTAACATTAGGATTATGTTACAGTTGATTGCGCAATCATCCATTAAGGTTTAATGATGTTTTTAAGCTCTAATGAATATCAAATTTTATGTTTGATGTCGCTTTAAACTAATGACAATTTTAATGTGTTTGTGCAAATGACTGTTAGTATATTTCTTGACAATTCAACTACTTCAACTAATAAGATATTACCCATGTTAATTAATAAGTACTGTTTATTTAAACCTTTTTTTGCGAAAAGTTCATTTATCATTATCATTTGCCTATTAATGTTCCCACTGATGGAGCACAGGCCGTTCACGTTCAGGTATTAAATAAGGAGAAACTGCTATGACTCAGTCCACTGCTATGGCCGGCCACCTGCCACCATACAGGCTCAGTGGACCATGCGAGGCAGTTGTTGAAAACTGAAGATGTAGCTGGGGTCAATAGTTTAAAATACCTTACATAGCTTGAGATAGTTTGCAAAAGTTTGCATAAGCATAACATCATAGACGCTAGATTTTTGTGCCATCGTACCATGTAACACATTGTTATGTTATTTCAGGTTGTTATTACAGGGAAAATGAGATCTACCTTGATTGATTGGTTGGTGGAAGTTCAACATCAGTTTTCTCTAGAATTAGAAACATTCCATTTGACTGTTGGAATTATTGACAGATATTTACAGGTAAGTTATATAATTGCAGGAGCAATATATATTTTTTATTAATAGATAAGAACAAGACTTAAAAAAAAAGTTTATAATTTATAAATAATGTTTAAAATTAAAACACTAAATCTGACTTGATTGGATTTGATTGCTATTATTGCTCAGCTAGATAGGTTTGTGGTTTCATATTTTGCACACTTAGATTTTACCCAATTCTGCTCAGAAGTGCAGAAGTTTCTCAGAATCCTCGCCATTGCTGAGCTAATACACCTATGAAACAGAATAAACATTGCCTGACTATTGTCTTCTATTGTAGTTAGATTGGATTGGTTGTATTGGAGTTGGTATTGCCCTTAAGATTGAAACTTTTGGTTAAAATAACACCTTATTGGTGTAACAGTTACGGCGTATGTTTTAAAGCTGTCTTTTTTTTTTTTTTACAATAATTTCAGGCGGTGCCCAATGTCCAGAGAAATCAACTGCAATTAGTGGGTGTGACGGCCATGTTCATTGCCAGCAAGTATGAAGAGATATATGCGCCAGACGTGCGCGACTTCGTCTATGTCACGGACAATGCGTACAAGAAATCAGACGTGTTCCGGTGTGAGAGGGAAATCATGTCCAAACTTGGATTTTGTCTGGCAAGGCCTATACCTCTCAGTTTTCTTAGAAGGTACGATTCTAATGCTCACACATGGTTTCTGAATTGTCAATTTAAAGTTAAGGATGTCTCAAACTGTACTAAAACTTCACTTAAGCAGATTTTCGTTCCTGATTTTAGCTTTTTAATTATCACTTGATAGCAGTTTGATAAAACTAAGATTCTTGTGAAATGTAAAAACTTACAAGTTCTGAGTCAGTTGAAATTTTGCACTTTTTTCAATTCAAAAACTGGCATATCAGCTTTGAGATGATCCTTCTGCAAATAACGATAAGATGATGGTAACATCATGTGCATAAAGGTGTTATTTTCTATTTTCTCATCTATAACGCTCATTTTTCTTCTGGAAGCTATCTTTAAAAGCGATCAGTCATTTTCACTTATGCCTATTTAACGGTGGGCCCGCCAAAAAAGACTGTTGATGACCTCAATAGTTTTTGCATGTCAGTGACAAGGTGTCGCAATAATCAAGGTGCCGGGTTCGATTCCCGGTCGGGTTAATGTAGAAAACAGACTACTTCTTATATCGTCTCGGGTCTGGATGTTGTGGTACCTTCGTTGTCTCAGATACGGGGACTTTAGCTACTCATACTAGGAATCTGAGCAATGTATGTGATGTGTTTTTTTAATATTATTTATTAATATAATAACCATGATTTGGAGGTTTGCAAGAAAGCTGTAAAACACAAGAAACCACATTTTATTTCTATGGTTTTTTTCACAGTCAAAATGTGAAATCATAAAATTTTCCCTACAAAAAAAATTATAAAGTTACCTCTTTTGATCTTTTCTCTTGACTACAATTCTATGCTAGTCATTTTATTTGCGAAGGACCTTAACTGGATAATTAAATACGTTTTTTGTGCGCAATTCGCTAATCTCTGTTCATATATATCTCGTAATTATCTAATAAGGCTCTTACGGTCAGTTGCACAAACATCCATTACGGTTTAAAGACGCCTTTATGCCCAAATGAATGTCAAAATAGTATCGGTAATGTCGCTTAAACTAATGAAATTTTTAATGGACGTTTGTGCAACTGGCTGTTTTTCAACTTGAAATTTAAAGAACCTGTATTGACATCGCATCGAAATTTATTTAGAATAAAAAATTTAATTAACATAGATATTTATTTAATTCATGACCATTGTTCGTTTTTTTATATATCGTATCAGCTAAGCGACGACGAATGGAAAACCAATATCATTATAAATATTGATTACAATTTTATTATTGTTTGCTTTTATTTTGTAATTGATGTATTCCATATAACCGAAAATGCAGACAGATTTTCGGTTATACGGATTACCCCTGGTTTTAATTGATCTGGATAATCAGGATCTACTTACTATATGTAATAACATACACAGGCGAATTGAGAACATCTTTTGTTTTATTTTGAAGTCTGTTAATAAATAAAGGCATTTCTATTACTTTACAGATTCGTTAAGGCCGCTCACGGTACATCAAAGAACCACCATCTTGCCAAGTATTTTGTTGATTTAAGTTTAATAGAATATACTATGGCGCACTATCGTCCATCTGAACTGGCTGCTGCTGCTGTTTGTCTCTCTTTGTACCTACTATCAAGTAAAAAATTAGAAGATGTATGGACACCGACACTGTCATATTATTCTGGTTACTCGTTAGAACACATAGACCCTATTATAAGAAAGTTGGCTAAATTAGTAGTAAATGTCGACAATTGTAAGTATAAAGCTGTTTACAACAAATATAGTGACACGACATTAGCTCAAGTGTCTAATTTACCCCAGCTAAAAGGTGAATCAATTTATGAACTAGCAAAAATACCCTCTAGTACGAAGACTACGTAAGTATATTGGACTGATTTTTATTGTGTGATTGTAAGCTTGTGATGACATGTCTTATGGCACAGGTTTGTTATAGGAAGTACCTGTTTTTAATTTCCTAGGATAATTAGTATTAGATTGTGAGATTTTTGATATTTTTAGATAATCTTGACATGACAATTTTATTTGAGTATATGTGTTGTAATAATTCAATGCAAGCGGTTTGGATGATGTCATAATGTATTAGTGGACAATTTTGAATTATTGTAATTTGTATTTATTTATTTGTGTCAAATCGATTAATTTGTGAGTTTTATTATATGTATACGAGGTTTACGAAATCTCATCTATTCTTGACCTAAACTGATGAGTAAATAAGGGTTTGTATTTTACCAACGAATAGGTTTAACAGACTCTACAAGATGTAAATAAGCATCTAGAATAAAGAGTATTCTAAAATGTTTATTAAAAGTTACTTATGTACATCTTGTTAGCTATTTTTTAGTTTTAATGTGACCAAAACAACTTAATGAGACTTCTGTTTGGATATTTTAATAGTAAGGTATTTTATAAGATATTTTGCATACATGTAATTTGATAGACCTGTGATTAGAATATACCATGTAATTTGTTGAAAATAAAATGATTTACGATACCTACTTCATTTTTCGTTAGCCACATTATTTCTTAATTATCTGTAAAAGTATCTCTTTAGCTATTTGTCGCCAGGCCGATAATAAGGTATTAACCTGGAAATTTTTGAGATGACCTGGAAAGTTTTGTGGAATTCATTATAAGTAGATTTATAGCTGTGGCGCTGCCAGAATGACGTCAGCCCAGCAGAGTCATAAAGACTTAGGGTATGTTCCGATATACACTGCGACCACTGAACAGTATGACATCAATTTAGTATACTGGAAGCCCGTTCCTTTATAGCTAGTTATACTGGTGACTTTTTAAAACGGAACGCAGTCCAGTATACTGTTAATCCTATTTTTTGGCGCCATTTTCAAATTTGTTAATGCAAGGTGAATATAAATATAAAGATTCCCTCTTTTCGAAAGAAAATTGGAAAATTGTATAAAAAAATTATTTATCAATTAAATCCATCTTATAAATAAAAGTAAATATTTTTTTTGTTTATTTAGAAACTAATCATTTTCTGATTCTGTTTCGACTGATCACGTGATCAAAAGCACTGCGAGCACCTTACCTCGAAATCTCCAGTGCTCACAGTACAAATATGGCGGCAATTTATGACGTCATAAATTTCCCTAGGGTACTGTAGCAGTGTACTGGCAGTCCATAACGGAACGGATTTTTCAGCAGTAAGACCACTGCGCAGTGCTCGCAGTGTATATCGGAACATACCCTTAATATTACGAATTATGTTATTTGTCATTATACGTAATTATGTTATTTGTCATTATTTCGTAGCGGGCTGATAAGTAAGGAACTAGTTTTATCAAGTATTCATTACAAAGTCGAAGAGGTAGCATTGTCAGCCTGGTACACACCATAAAAAATAACATGTTACCAGCGCCGGCTCAATGAATCTGCGACCTAGACTAAACACTAGAACTTGGACCCCTATGCAAAACACCGGAACGTCGGTCATAAAAAAAGAACACAAAATAAAAGACATGTAGGTACTGCCGATAACAAAAGATACTGCTATGCTGGTCTGAAAAAAATTATACTTTTGAATACCGCGGTCGTGGACTCGTGATCAAAAGGAACAAAAGTATTTTTTTAAGGTATGTACTATATTTTTTAAGGTTCGAATTATTAGAGAAATTATAATTAAATGCTAAATTAAATCGCATTTCAAGGTGTCGCAAACTCAAAAGTCCCGGGTTAGATCACCGGTCGATTCAATGTTGAAAATGTGAAGTGTTGATTTGTAGATGGGGGGTGAGAAGCACCCCCCAGGCTTCAGGTAAAAAGATTAAAACAAAATAATGTTTTAGCAAACTTTATTTTGTTTCTCAAGGGGTAGGTACAGATTCGGACAGCGCCTGGCAAAGTTAGTCCCGACGTCAGCTCCGGTCTGCAGCACTGGTGAACCACGAGGACTCGACGTAGGATAAAGCGTAGCGTAAGTGAGGTGGAGCTCCGATGGAACATAAACTCCGATGGTTCCTGTTAACTGTTCAATAAGTCTGGCTACCTGTGGCCTGAAATAATTAAGATAGCTCCAGTTGCTATAGCTTCTATAACATCTACCTAATAAAAAAATATAAAAATGCGTGTTTGAAATTATATTAAAAATCATTAAGAATGAAGTTAAAATAAAAGATGCTATGAAAATAATCTGTAAGTTAAAAAACATACAAATATTATTGTATTAAAATACACGGGAATCGAACCCGTAGTTCAAGTAAAATTGAAGCACTTAGTGTTCCATTTAAATCGTCTAAATTTCAAGGTTATCAAATATTATTTATAGCATAACTCGGGAATCGAACCTGAGAAGGAAATAAAGTCACGAAATGAAATTAAAATAACTAGCATTCGGACAATATATCGATTATATTTTATTTTTAGCAGCCAAAATGAGCAATGGATGTTGCCTACAATTATTATTATTATTTATAGAATTGCCAGTTTTGAATAACTAACACTCGTATCTATTCCTACTTCATTCAAATTCCCCTGTAATGGTTAAAATTCTTTGCTAATGATATGATATTTTCTCAAGAATTACTTATCTCGACTACATATACAAATGTAAAGATCACTTTGATTACAGTACGGGGGTACCTAATTCTGAAACAGAAACACTCAAAGGGGCGCGGTAGAGCTGGTAACGTTTGCGCACATTGGACGTTTCGTTTTTACATGGCGCCACTCGCCACCGCAAATTCGAAGAATTTATTAACGCTCGCCGGTTACCCGGACAGTTTTTGTACTCCTTTTTTCTGTGACCGAACTCGTGCACTACAAAAAACAAAGAATATGCCCCCGACTTTCAGCCAGTTTGAGTATTTCGGATTTGTTGCTGCACAGATTTCAGACTTTACTCGTGTTGACGTTTGGTTTGGTATTTTTATTTATAGAATTAGCTTTATTTGTTGTTGATGCATATTATGAACTTTAATTAATGTAAGAATGTTAAATCAAGGACAAAATAATTCTTGTGTAATATAGATAGACTAGGTTTTATTATTTTTACTAGGTAAATTAGGAAATTCTATTTAGTCCGCCAGTCAGATAATAGAAAAATATTTAAACAAGAAATGGCTTAGATAATAGGCATTTCAGTTGAGGAGTGTGGGCTCGCTATGTTACAGTTTTACAGAAAATGTACAAAAGTGAAACTTCATGCGACATTTCAACTCGATGTTACGTTGTAATTTATTGAATACCCATAATATTCTTCAATAATTTTCCAGACGGAGAGACATACAAAAATTAGCCATCATTCCTATTATATTTCTTTGGCATGCGTGTAAAAAGTAAGTAGATATCATAGAGTACCGTATCTCACTAATTTTAAGATCTATTTTGTTGAAATAAGTACAGCTCTAACGGCGGATGTCGGGAATCAGCGTTCTGCGATCGTTTCTGAACTTTGCAACCTCTACCTTTAAGGAAATGTACCTAAATATTGAACGACTAGCTGTTTTCTTACTACTTCAGCTGCGTAAATTATAATCTATGTCACCCGCGTATCATGTAGCTTTCCGTAGGTGAATGAATTTAAATGATCAGCCCTGCGATTCTGTAAAAATCCAAACCCGAATTCGAATCCACTCAGGTTTCCGAATTCACTTCAAAAAGTGGCATCCGCTCAACCTTGAATAAGTAATAACGTTTCGTTGTATAAGTGAAGTGAGTTTCAAAATGACACAGGAATAGAATATCTGAGACACGTATATTTAATCAATTTTATTACGTATTTTTATACAAAAAAAAAAAATTGTAAAGTAAAGGAAGTCAATTCGGATACATGAGTGAATTTGAATTCGGGTCTGGATTATTCAGAATCTGTATTTCCTAAGATAACTCTCAACAAGCAAACAAAGTTAGACTGTAGTAGCGAAAAAGTAAGAAGTGCTTGAAAAATTCGTCAATCCTGTTAGGTCCTGGGAAGCTCAGTGGTTAGAGCAGTCGCCCGGATTGCGACAGGTCATGGGTTCGAGTCCCATCTCAGAGTGCACAAGGTGCATTTTTTAAGCATTCATAGATAGCGAAAATTAATATGGAAAGTTTTATTAAATATTTAATTATTACATATTGCACGTTGCAACGTGCTGTTAGCACGTTGTTAATACAAAAGTTTAGTCTTTTCTATATTCAAGGTATTCTGGTAACTTTATTCTAATGGTGGTGATGGGTAGCGCAATGAAAAGCTGGTAGAATTCTTCAGACTTGATTTTATTTTCAATAAACATACATCGAATCACTTATAACTAAATACTATGATACTCACTCTAGGCTGGTGTCGATCAGAAAGAAAGATTGACAACCAGCAAAACACGAACTTTCGAATACAAAAAAAAATTAACGGCCAGCATTGATCATAAACCGTCCGAAAAGTAAACCTGCCTATAGTAATGTGCTCGGACGTTACAGTACCTAAGTGATAAATAATTGGTAACGATATAACTGTGGATTGTTAATGAGATTGCTGCCATGTTGCATTTTTGCAACAAGCTCGCGCCTATGTATGCGCACAGTCGCAGTAATGCCGCGAAAGCCTGTCTCGTAAATATTAAGCTCGCGCAATTTACAGCTTTGGGAATCCTCTTATAGGAATACTGGGGCATTCAGTGAGCCTCCGGATATTTATAATTTTAACTGCGCGTTTACACCAAACCACAATATAGCTTTTTAGTTAGATTTGAAATTAGTGTTGATTTCTAATTGAGTATCATCTTCTTTTGGTAAAGCTAAATAAAAAAAAAACCTTCCGTAAAGGAATGGGTGGAGGTTTTTTTATTATGAACATATGATATGTAATTTTATAAAAGTTATCAATAATGTGTTTTAATTCTCCTTATATTATAAATTCGAAAGTAACTATCTGTCTTAAGTTTTCAAGCCAAAACTACATGAACCTTAGTTACTAGCTCGTTGGAGCAGTCTATAAAATCCGCGACCTGCGATTGTTGTTGCTTAGCAACTTTCGTAAAGGTCGGTCACGGGATGGGTAATCAAAAAGTTATTATTTTGTACTATTTCGTGCTTCAGAAGGCACGTTATACCGTTGGTCCCGGCTGCATTTGAGTCGTTAAAACCCATCAACTATTTGTCTGTTATGCTTTCACGCCAAAACCACTTGAACTGATTTTAATTAAATTTAGACAGAAGAAAATAGAGTAAGGTTAGCTTTAGGTTTCATATTGGAATTCTGTCTCATAAAGGTACTGGAGATAGTTGATTAAATCTTAAAATAACTTTCATAACTATGCAGTTGTGGAACATTAAAAAAAAGATCAACTACTCAAGATTTTATTTTGTATATTAACATGTAATATCTTTTAATGATATAACATCTCAGTAAATACTTCAACATCTTCACTAAATACTCTTTGAAGAAACTTACATCCAAGCAGCCTTCAAGTAAACCGTCAAAAGAATATATCTCACGCCAAGTCTAGAGCTTAAGTATCACGAAGTTCCCAGCAACAAAATGTTTCATATTATTGTCGTGTTATACTTTTCTACTTATCGCCGAGTGGCAAGTGTCCTGGTGTAACACCGTTTCTGTTTCACTAAGTTTTAACGAGTTTGTCGGACACGGCTGGCGTGGCTCTCGACCGACGGCATCTTGACTGCACATGTTATAGAGGTTATATATAGCAAGCTAATATATTACAAAACTGTCCTCTGTTCACATACATTCTGTTTTATATGTTACTTGAAAAAGTGGGGTGGGTGCGCTAGGAACCGTGTCAATTCAAATTCAATTTTTTTACGCTTGATAGTATTGCCGTACTTCTACCAACCATGTGAACATAACTAAAAGCGATATACATTACATACCATCTATAACCAGTTGCGATGTGCCGCATTCTTTTTTTTATAAAAAGAAAATTATATTTTTTATGTGGCTGTAATGGCCCGAGCGGTTGGCTTTATTTAGGTGTTCAGGGTTTCAGTTGAAAGAGACACGACGTTTAAGAACACAGACTTTACTTGGTCAACTTATTACAGATGATCTTAACTATAGACTTATTGAAGACTACTTGAAGACTTCTCGAGTACTGACCGAGGACTAAATAAGAACTGACTATACGAGAGCTATGCATGAGTATTTAACTAATTTAGTTACACATCATTTAGTTATCGATTCATTGATAATGTTGATTTAGACATTAGTTTGGGAAATGTCAATATATCATTAATAATTTAATTGAGAATAACAAATAAAGGAACAAACATTTATTATCATTACTTATCATAATTGGAAAATAATTAGGTACTATATATGACTAAGGTCTATTACACCTCCTCCGTTAAAATGGGAATAATTTGAAGAATTATTCACATCAATAGCAATAACTATATAAAATAACGATTACATAATTCATGAAACAAAATAAATCTAATTATAAATCAACATAGTTTTCTTAATAATATCTATATTATAATAATTTATTTAGTTTTTATCTGAGCAATTCTTGTACTGCGCCTTAGTGGTGTACTTGTAGTTGCTGTGTCAATAGAGGCAGAGTTTGAAATATCTTCTAATTCTATTTAATTATTAGTGTTTTCCAACTTGAAAGTTGGACCTGCTTTTGGATTGGATTGGTTGGATCCTGCTACAACAACATTTAGATTCTTCAATCGCTTAAACTCTATCTCTATTGTTACAAAATAATTTTCCTCTTATTAAATATTTTCCTAATCTATACAGAATATAAAATGTTATAAACTTAACTATCGATAAAACTATAAACACAAAATATGTATTATTTTTTATTTTATGGAAAATATTATCATTTTCCAAGTCCTTTAATAAATCGTTAATTTTATGACTTGCTATATTTAAACCTTCAAAATTCATATTATATTTATTTAATGGTATAAAATCAATTTTATCTTCAACAGTTTTATTCTGTAACTTATTACAACAGTTATCATTGATTTAATCAAAATTTGGTAGTACAGATAGATGTTTTGACAATAAGTCTTGAATAGTTGAGTGTAATATAATATTGTCTTTTGCTGTAAACTTGTCTAATTAAATGCCTTTGGGTTTAATTAGTTTTTTTGATTAGAGTCTGATGAGTTCCCATTGCTATTTGAAAAACGACTTTTGTTACTTGATTCTCGTTTTTGGAAATTATTATTACTATTAAGGTTATTGGGAGAATTTTTATTTTTTAATATATAACATTCATCTTTAACGTGACCTTTCTTTTTACAATAATTACAATACTTGAACTTTTTATTAGGCTCTGTAAATGATCGAACTCTGCAATTGACAGTTGTGTGGTCAGGTTTATTACATTTATGGAAGTGTATGGTGTTTGATATATTTAAATTTTGAAATTTGGAAATTTCGTTTTTGCCTTTTAACTGTTGTTCTTTAACCACAGCCAAAGAAATTGCGTCTTGTAAAGTTTTAGGCTGGAGAGCTTTTAATTTTAAATTCAAATCTATTTTTAATCCTGTTATAAAAACACTTAACGCTTGTGATTTTAATAGATCTACACATGCTTTTCTTGCATCTGGCGATTGGTTATAGGCATCTAATGAGTTAATTAATTTTATATAACAATTTTCTACTTTGTTGGCATACTGTATGACGTTTTCATTATAATTTTGTTTACATCTACTAAGTTCTAATTGCCATTGACCTAATGTTCGCTTTTCTGTATATCTATCTAACAAATATTTTTTTAAATCTTCCCAATATTGAAATTCTCTATTTCTAATCATCGACCTAGCATTATCAGTAATTTTTGTTATTATGATTTGTAATAATATTTTCTTCAAACTCGGATTTATTAAATTATTAACAATGTCGCAATTATCTAAAAAATCGTGTATACGCGCCTTACTGCCATCAAATTTAGTCAACATTCTTTCAGCCATTTCAAGGGATATAAAGCTTACAGATGTGGACACATCGTTACTAGTTTTTACAGACATGATTATATAAAATAATTTTCACTTCCACTTAAAGAAAAAACTTCACTAATTTATCACTTCCTATTCGAAGATTGGCAGATGTTGACAGCTGTACCGATCAGGAAATATCCTCTATAACGGTGTTTTATGAAGAAAAGGTGGTGACTTACAATACGAGAAGATCTCTGGTTGCCATTAGAAAAAGTTCTTGATCCGGAGAGTAGAGTGTCGGCATAAACGACAGCGTGATGAATTCACGTAGACCGTTGAATATACGTCGTCTCGTAGAGCAGCTGAGCGTCAAGAATCGGAGTTACTTCTGCTTGAGATTCTGATGAAATTCCTGATTTACTTTAAGCGTTATAAAAACCGGATTATTTATCTCGATCAAATTCCTTATTTCTGACACCAATTTTGTAATGGCCCGAACTGTTGGCTTTATTTAGGTGTTCAGGGTTTCAGTTGAAAGAGACACGACGTTTAAGAACACAGACTTTACTTGGTCAACTTATTACAGACGATCTTAGCTTTAGACTTATTGAAGACTAGTTGAAGACTTCTTGAGTACTGACTGAAGACTGACTATTCGAGAGCTATGCATGAGTATTTATATGTTTCAAGAGGGTTGCAAATGATCCTCGTACTCTCATTAACTAATTTAGTTACACATCATTTAGTTATCGATACATTAACAATGTTGATTTAGACATTAGTATGGTAAATGTCAATATATGATTAATAATTTCCTTGAGAATAACAAATAAAGGAACAAACACTTATTATCATTACTTATCATAATAGGAAAATAATTACTATATTTGACAAAGGTCTATTACATGGCACTAATTTTTATGTATGGAAATACACAGTTAATGACTTCGATATAATTTTCATTTTGTATGGTTAACGTACATGCACCCACCCTTTAATAATTACAAAATCGATAAATAAATATTACTATAATATTTTTTTATCGATTTTGTAATTATTCTACTGGTCTGTCATTTAACTCTCTCGATAGCGGAAGTTAAACAACTTTCGAAACGCCGGCGCCGTTCATAGGATGGGTGAACGAAATTTTTATTCTAATCGATTCCATCTTTAAGGAAGGCCTTTTGACAATCGCATTTTGACAAGGGAAAATAATTTTTACGCGTTATATAAGTTCCTGGTTCTAAAATTATTTTATTCTTTTAGTTTTCTTAATCAAATAAAAAAATATAGTTCACTCTATTTTAGCTAATATATCCATTTGAAAATCTCTATAGAAGCATTATTGAGTGTTCATACTTAGTTGGTATGCGCTAACATATTTGCCATCCTCGTTATGCGTGGTTTAAGTCATAAGCGCCCGCCGATCGTTTCTTTTGGTAACAGAGCGCTAAGGTAAGACACGCAACGGGTTATATTAACAATGCCTAAAAAGTCAGAATTCCAATATTAAAACTGACAGTCGTATATTCAAAAGAAGTGTCTATTAAAAATAAGACTGCTGTGGATGTATGACATGCTGAGGCAGTGGAGTAGCACCCTAAGTGAATGTTTTTTTGACATTTACATTTACCGTCGATCGTGAGCGCGTTACATTTTAGTATGAAATCCGGTACAGCGCCCCTAGCGGTGACATTAAAATTCTCCATATAACTGTAACTTACACTTACCACTATGTGACTTCAGCGACACCTAGCGTTCGCGACATTGGAAGCTTTGACGCTTCGAAATTAAACATATTATTTAAGACAAAGCATTAAAAACAAAAACTATCATTAATCTTATTTACAAAAACTGTTATTGGGTGTACAGAGGGTAGTAAAATCATTTTTATTCATTCGAATTATACGATGTAACTAACTATAATTTATTTAAAGAAAAATATTTTTATTTTAATTACGTCAGAATTTGTTTAGCTTTAAAGCTTCTTTGACGGTTTTATTAAATAATAGTAAACTTATAAAATTATTCCTGTATCGTGAGTAATGTATGAAATATGGTTTATAGAAGGCAATGAGTATTATTCTGAAAACCGGGTTTGTATGTTAATATATACAATATAAAGTAAAATAATTACTATATTGTTTAAAGTAGGTAATGAATCTTCGTTGGAACTCATAACCTGAGGCCCTTGCAGTGGGGACGTAAAAGGGCAGATAGTGATGACTTATTACTTAGATATTTATGAATTCAAGTCAAACTCTTGTGACTTTTACCACATAATGTATAGTAATAGGCGATCCGTCGGACGGCCATGGGTAGCACTTAAAACTGCCGTTAAAAGGGGCACCGTTTCAAAAGCCTCGTATAAATAACGCAACCAACAGCATTTACGTTAGCGACGATATTTTACGATATTCTTTAATTTCCATTTATGTACCAATTCGAATAGAATTTAGATTTAAATAGACGTTGATATAGTTTTAAAATATTTTAAGAGGGCGCCTTCATTTAAAAATCACTCTCTACTGGTTTACTACTCTATCTACTGGTTTAATGGTATTTATACTCTCTACTGTACAAAAAGGACGTCCAAATAAGATGTAAATAAATATGAGTATATAAAAAAAAAAACATAAAATTAAACCTTAAACTCATAGACTTGACGGTTATATTACTAAATACTAATAAAATTTATTTTAGTTGCTAGTTATTGACATGTGACGGTAATGATATCTGATGTATAGATGTCGCAGCCAAGTGGTATAATCAGCCGACCAATTGGTCGACTAGCCTTTATTAATATTTGAAAATATCCAAGTAAAAATCTTTTTATATATGAACGGAACACATTTTTTATTTTGACCTATACTAGATGGCGTTAAGTATTATTCTATATCGCACTGTTTTGACCAAAGTTTACTTTCAAAATAAAAATTTTATTGCGTTTATTCTAAAATAAAGTGCGTTATCGTTTTGTTCAAAGAATTTTACGTACATTTCAGTTTTCGATTATGTTTTATGTTAACTTTAGATTTATTTGTGTTTTTCTTTTCATCGCTATTACAAATTGGGTAAATAGTTTAAAGTGCTGAAACATATTGGACATTAGTCGGTGTCCATGTGTAATTAATATTTTTCTTAGTTTATTTAATTTCGTAACCGTCTGGTTAACTCTTATTATATGATATATGAGCGATAAAGAGAATCGTTTAAATATTACATACTAATATAATATAGCGAAAGTAGTTCTCTATATATTTCTGTTAAGCTCTCACGCCTAACCAACTCAAAATAGTTGACTTGAAATAGATTGTTTTTTATTGCGATAAAACGGTTGAAATATGGATTTGAAGGTTCGTCATTGTTGAAAATAAAATCACGAAACATTACATTCTGGTATTTTACACGATATAATGAATAAATATTTGTTTTAGCGTTTTAAGAAATGCTACCCAAAGTAACTATACCACGCGGATGAAGTCGCGGGAAAAACTAGTAAACTATACACACGAAATAAATAGCTTCCTTTCAATATTTTCACAGGTTACTTGGGTTATATTTCTAAGGATCTCTCACAGCCAAAAGTTATTTTTATTCGATTTCTATTACATATCCTATTTTATAGGAAAAATGATAAATACCTATGTGGCTTTGTAACAGAGAGAATTACAATCGTTATAGTTTTCGAGTAATTTATACAACGGTATTATTTTTTAGCAATTTTGTTTTAAAATCTTCAAATTGTCATTCATTGTATATTTTTTTTAGAGGGGTTATGGTGTGAAAGACAGGGGTCAGATTATTTCGTTCTTGATCACGGCCACGGGTGAAAAAAGCTCCCAAAATGGGGTGAAGTGCTTACGTGGCTAATCCATAGCAAGGAGGTTTAGTGGCCGAAGAGATATCCAATTCAATAAACTTTATATGCTTAGACGACAATCATATCATGAAAAATCAGATTATTTATTGTATAACATCAATAAAGTTGGTCAGTAATAATTACTAGACATAGTCAGTAATGTCTGGTAAATGGGTCTTGCACCTGATTCTCGTTTTCCTTTTTTAACCTACTTCAAAATCGATAGATTATATATTTATGTTGCCGTTATAATAATAAACACTAAATATAGAGTAAAATATATATTTGAGCGAGGTCCCAACGTGTTTTTTTGCTGTCATCAGGCTGTATTTGTTGTTAAAATTTACATGTTGTCTATCTTGAAATTTTAACAACAAATACTAAAAACCAGAATAAAATAAATATTTAAAGGGGCTTACATACAAAAAAACGGACGGAATCCTTCGTGCGCAAATTCAACTCACACTTTGCCGGTTTTTTTATATATATTCACCGATTTTTCTGCGAATTATTTGTTTTACGCTTTCCTCGTGTTTCCCTATTTCTATTGAGCTATCGAAAATATGGATGATTTAGGAGACGGTGAACATATTATCATTCGGTACACGTGCCCAATAGTTTACCCTCATTTGATTTGTTTTAGAGAAGATTAGTGACTCAATAATACGTGCGGGGAGTCTATTTACAAGACAAGCTTAGGCGTTGGACTAGTTTGATCCAGTTTACTAATTACGTGAGTTCCTCTGATAACAGGGGCGGAAAGTGTTGAGAACTATATTGGGACTATTTCCGGAGCAATTATTTTTCTATTATTAAAAATTAACTGTACTCCAGCAAAATTCGATGAGGAATAAATGTAAACAATGGAAATTAGGGTCATCACAACTTAGATGACAAAAAAATATATAAAACTCGTATTTCTCACCAGGATACTGCATATTACTTTGTAATTTTATGAGTAATATTATTTACTCCTATAAATTACCAGAAACACTCATAAAACTTCAATATTTTGTCAAAAATATGGAAAATAGTAATAAAGCTGAAATTATTTTTACACGACAGCCCTATAACTTATGGAGTTCTGATATTAGAAACATGTTTGTAGTTTTAAATTAACTTTCCAAATAAAGTTGTGAATTATTTTAAACGTGTTCCTTTAGATTGATCTCATTTGAAATCAATAGCATATTAAGCCGACCCTATTTAAAATGACAATTTGTTTTTT